AGAGCAGTTTCTGTCAAGAGCTCTCTCAGCCCCACCTACCTCACAGGGTGTCTGTTGTGGGGAGGGGAAGGGAAAGGAGTTTGTAAGCCGCTCTGAGACACCTTTGGGTAGTGAAGGGCGGGGTATGAATCCAATCTCTTCTTCTTCTATATGCCTTGGCTGCAAAGAAAATACGGGCCAACGCTGTTCTTATGGGAACAAATTAATATTGATCTTAGCAGACACCTTTTGATTCAATTAATTACTTATATCCTCAGTTTATTTTATTCTGATTTTATGGTTTTACTATATCTTAAATTTTACTCTATTTCATACCAATATTCATATTTATGGCATTCCTCTCTGTTGTTATCCTCTCTGTTGTTATCCTTGGCTAAATACAAATAAATTTCTATTAATTAATTAATTAATTAATAACATCTACAAAATACAACGATAAAAATTTAGGCATGGTTTATAGAACCAAAACCTAGACTAAGAGCCAAAGCTCCAGCTCTACACTTGGACATGCCCAGTGGTATTTTCATCCTGTTTCTTTGACGAACATATCACATACTGCTCTGGAGTCTCCCTTGGTTTGACCTTCAGAAGAAAAAGAATATATATGAACAAGTTGAAACGAATCAAATACTAGCTCCTTCTGTGCATTTTACACGGTCCCCTGTCATGAACATAAGACACCATCGTGGAAGAAACGTCTTCCTGAAGAAGGTGAAAATGAAAAGCTCTCTCATACAAAACAATATATATAAACTTAAGCAGGATGCACGTGGGGTTGCCACCTTCCAGGTGGTGCTTGGAGATCTCCCAGATTTACAGCTGATCTCCAGCTGACAGAGATCAGTTGACCTGGAGAAAATTGCCTCTTTGAAAGGTGGACTCTATGGCATTATACCCCACTGAAGTCCCTCCCCTCCCCAAATCCCCCCCTCCATAGGTTTCACCCCCAGAATCTCCAGGTATTTCCTTACCTGGAGCTGGCAACTTTAGGATAAACAATAGGAAACTGGTCAAGGAGACTGGGAAACCAGGCCTTCCCACCATTGTTTCCTCCTCCTTACCTTTCCAGAGGAATTATGATAGGTCAGATTGCCAAAATTGTATCATCTGAAAAAGGCTTCACTCATTTAGTCTATTTAATCTGACTGTAACCTCTTATCACTGTCTCTGGTTACCTCCTCTTTGTTCTCTTTATTCCTGTGCTTGTTAATCCAAACTTTGATTGCCTTGGTGATATTTGGTTCCTTCTTCTGCCCCAACATGCCTTTTCCTGTCTTCGTACTGTTCACTGCTTATTTTGTGATATTTTGAAGCTCCTAGAACATTTCCAAAGCTCTCCTTAACTTAACCCTCCTACACATCTGCCTACTTTCTCTTCTGTACCTCACAGTTCTCTTGACTGTTCTCTTGGGACCATATGCTTAGCAAAGAAAATAAATCTTGCTATCATCGCCTAGGCATAAGCCCAAGCTACCCACATGCTCTCATGTCACAGCAGCTTACCGAAGAAGAAAAAGATCTCTCCTGTTATGGAGATCCATTAGGACAACAGATGCATGAGTGTAGGTAGTAGCAGAAGTTATGTACAAGCCAAAGTATGAATCATATTTTGGAGAGGCATCATACCTTTTATATAAAGTTCTGGGAGGAACAAATGAGAAAGATTTGACCACTGCTTTTCTTGGCTAGCTGAATTAAGGAGAGAAAAGATTCAGATGAGGTGTTGATATGTGCATGTACACCCATTCAACCCTGGCACTTGTTCAGCTTGATAGGCAGGTCAGTCTTAGAGTCCTACTATGTCAGTCCAGGATGGTGTTAATCTTACACAACTAAATCGAAAGCAAAATACTGCCAGTGGAAAGCAAAGGTGATGGCCAGCCACCATTTTGGTCAACAGTTTGTAGGCAGAATCTCTTACATCCCTACCAAGTTGGACTCTTCATCAGCGGTAATAGTGTCAAATGGTTCTGATGAAGGGGAAACAGTGGTTACAGTACTGGGGTTTTTAAACAAAACAGTGTGAAGAATGAAATATACTAAGCAGAGCAATCCTAAAGCCAGGGTTAAAAGAGAAATGAAGTCTCTCTCTAGGAAAATTGCCTTTACATGCATAAATGAAATGAATTAGTTAAATTTAGTCTCGGCTCTGGCTCACAAACTGTAGGCTGGTTTTGCTGGACACTTGGTGAGGCCTCTCCGCAAACTTGGAGAAGCCATTTTTCCTCACAGCCACAGCAGGCGAAGTTCCATAAACCCTTAGGATCAAAGGTCCACACCAGAAGATGGCCAGGTACCCTTCTCACTCTCCACATGTTTGTGTCCTCTCCAACTTCTTCCACACCCCAAATGTTTTAATGTTTGTTGTTTGCTGCCTCGCGGACACAATGGCCGAGTTCAGACTGGCAGTTTGCCCCGATATAGGCACGTTTCAGAAACGTTCCACGACCGGATTAAAGGGGCTGTTCACACAGGCACATCTCAGCCCGTTAGGGTTGCCAGGTCTGGGTTGGAAAATACCTGGAGACTTTGGGGGTGGAGCCAGGAGAGGGTGTGGTTTGGGGAGGGGAGGGGCCTCGGCAGGGTACAGTACCATTGGTTTCACCCTTCCAAGCAGCCATTTTCTCCAGGGGAGCTGATCTCTGTCAGCTGGAGATCAGTTGTAAAAGCGGGGGATCCCCAGACCCCACCTGGGGGCTGGCAACCCTACAGCCCGTCTTGTAACGCTTCACACCCGAGTTTAAAAGATACCTGGTGAAAGTAGTAGCAAACCCTGGAAAGCGCGATTATCCGGACCAACAAAGTGTGAACGCCAAAAGCCGTGTTTTCCTTATGCGCATATCACCAAATTGCCAAAAAGAAAGCTGCGCCTTACAGCCGTGCCTCCGGACCAACAGTGTGATTGGTCCCTTGCACCTCCTCCCGGTATGCTCCCGCATCAGTCGCTGCAGTGTGAATGGGAAAACCCGGAACAGTTTGTTCCGGCTCTTTTTTGCCACGGCTCCCTCCCGCTTCAAACTGCCAGTCTGAACTCGGCCTATATGAGTGGAAAGACAGCATAGAAATGTTTTAAATAAAACAAATTCTTCAGTTGTTCATAAGTGATTGCCTCATACTTCAGTGATGGTTGGAAACCATTAGTCCTTGACCCTCAGGTGTTTTCCAGATTGCCTTAATATTCCATTTTCATTCCCTAATGTTATCAGGTTTTTTTTCTTGTTTCCAGACAACTTTGTTAACATCTCCGTGCTGTACCATCTTTCCTTATCCCCCCTCCTTTCTTTCCTAAGATAGTTTCCCCCATACTTTCTTTTTTCCAGTGTGGAATGAATTTGCAAGATAGCCTCCTGCTTGGAATCTGAACATTTTTTCTGCTTCCTGGATTGCCACTCAAAACTCACCCAGAAAGGGTGAGTTTAGGCATTGATTTTTTTTTTTTAATATTTGCATGCCAGTGCTGAAATGTTTCAGTGCTGGAGGGTGCCTGCACTGAAACAGTCAGTCCCATTGGGAGGCAATCTTCAAGGTGATTGGTGGGGGGGGAGAGAGAATTCTGCAACTCCAGTTCCTTAAAAACAGGTTCTTGAGATGTTTACCAGAATAATGCCGAGAGAGACTGAAGAAGATACACATATTAATCATAACCCTCGGTGTGGGAAGGTAGGGTGGAGGAGAGAGTAATATTCTGGCTACTTTGAATGCCCTGGATCCCATCCTTACTCCTCGCTTTACACCATTGTAGACATACTGAAGCCAATGGGCCTACTCTCAGGTAAGGGGATTGCACCCTGCCCATGTGTTTCAGAGCAGGCTTGGGTGATGCTGACAGCATCTGAAGTAAGGCCCAAGGAGGAGGGGTCTTTCATGGAGCCTCTCCCCCAAGAGAGGGCACAGGCACTAGAGACCAAGGCAGGCTCATCCTGGAAGTGTGGTGGGCAGGGAATGTACTTTAACAGGGATTGCACAGCCCCCTTCGGGCTGCTGAAATTCTGCAGTGGTTCAGCACATCCCGCCGCCCCCCCCCAAAAAAAAAACAAATGGAGGGAAAACCCAGAAAAATTGATCCTCAGTATAAATGTGAACAGATGGAACCATGATAGGGGAAATGGGGGGAAATGTAAGTGCGAATTGCACCAATAGTGCAATCATCGGAACTGCTGCAACACCCACGAAAACCCTAACGGTGGCTGCCATCTGGGAAATGCCTCAGGCTCCTCTTCCCTCCTGTTGCCAAACGACCCCCACGCCCACCATGTGTAAAAGTCCTCTTCCTCTGGAGGGCAGTGTTCCCAAGCCAAAACCTACTATTCAAGCAAACATTCTAACAATAAATAAATATTTTGCAAGGCTTACATTTTTATTCCAGCAAAACCGAACTAATGTCTGGGAAACCTGAGGAAAACCTAACTCTGTTTTCAAACAGTAGATTGATTAACTATCTCACTCTTTCTGAAACAATACGTTCTAAAGTGAAATTGTTTCTCCAGTCTCATACACTGTTTACACATGTATATACTTTAGTCTTGAGCATAAGACCAATTTTTCCCCTTCTAGAGAAATAAAGGGGGTTTTTTTTATTTACCTCTGGTCTCCTTCTTGATTTTAACCATCAGGAAAGTTTTTTCTATCCTAATTACCAAGGCAGGGGAGAAGTGAAGTGTACCTCAGCAATGTGCCTAAGGAAGGTGGGAGTGTATACATTTAAATATTTGTATAATTTACCTCATGGGTGGCTAGCCTGTAGAAATTTTTACCAAGTACTTCTAGGTGAGTTCCAAAGCAATTCTCTGGCCACCTGGTTATTTGAGTTTACCCTGTGATGGTGGTGGATGAGGGACGCTGATACTTAAATATCCCCAAAATAAACAGTGCACTACAACAAGGAACATACTGGATTTTATTACGCATTGTATATCTCGCAAACTAACAACCCTCACAGTTGCTCCCACTCAAACTCTCTCCCCTCCCAGCTGCCCCATTACAATCATATGGATACTAAATCAGTCCACATTCTTTTCAGCTGGGGCAACTTCCAGAAGCAGCTGCAGATGCAAAGTGAAGCTTCTTAAGAAGCCAGGATGATATTGGTAGTACACCAAGGGGAAATAAAAGAAGACGCCACTGAAAATGAAGAGGATGACATAGAGGAACTCAGTCTGAGGCTGGTCAATGATAGGTGCCAGTACAAGGTAGACAGATGTCACCAGCACAACTATTGGGATGATGATGGGTACCTGTGTGGAAGCAGAACATATATTTATGGAAGGCATACTGTCAGGGATATTTTTGGGTAGCACTCAAGTAGCTCTTCAAAAATATTTCCTGTTATCCCACATACATGACCAAAACTTTAACAAAGTATTGTGAATCAGATTGACAGTGTAATCCTAAACAGAGTTCCATCCTTCTAAGGCCAATAGGTGTTCGTGACATTTTGTCAAATGGTTGGTTAGGCATGAAGTTCAGTTAAATGTTTGACACCACTGGGATAGAAGGGTTAGAAGGTTGTAAATCCATTTAGGATTCCACTGTGTATCACAGTTTGACAACAACCCTGTCTTCTGTCCTCAAAACTTCAAACCAACATGAAGATAAAATGGAGAGGGAGACAGCGTTGTAAGCTACTTTGGGTCCCCATTGTGGAGAAAAGTGAGATATAAATAAAACAAGTAAATAATTAAAGATAGCTAGGAGATACAAAGTCCTGAGGTCAGATATGCCATTGCTTCCTGGCCAAGTACAGTAGCAAAAATAACTAACAAAATAACACTGGCTTTCCAATAGTTTGCCAACCCTTTGCTCCCCCAATTCAACAGTTACTTCTGCATATAATAACACACAGGTTCCATTATGAATTTTCTGCCTTGCAAAACAAGCTCCCACAAATCACATTCACCACAAGCTGCAATTCAACTTAAATAAGGAATGAACAAATAATTGCTGTCTTTACATGTACGCCTCCTATCCCCTCCTCCTCTAGCATGTGTGGCTACATTGACACCATTTCTGAACACAAGTACCTTGGGGAACCGCAGACTGCTAACTACAGGGTGGGCATAAGCGTACCCTGAAGTGGGGCAGATGCTGGTACCCACGGTTTCTGGCAGAGCTCACTGCTGCTGCCCCCTGCCCACATTGTGCCCCTCCCCTTGCTGCTGAGTGCTAATGCTCCTGGTGGCCACAGAAGCGGTGCTACCAGCCACACACACCAGCCAGCGCTGTTGGGGAAACGGCTGCAGGTGAGGCACATGAGCATCTGTGGTGGGAGGGCTTGTGAGCAGATGGGGAAAGGATGCATAGGCAGATAGGGGAGGCACAAAGCTAGGTGGGAGTGGGGGGCCTGGAAGTGGGCAAAGGAGGGGAGGTGGCCCCCAAGAACTCTCTGCCCAGGGCGCCCCCCACCCTGGAACTGGCCCTAGTTCAATCCACACAAACTAGGGTTCTAAACTAGAGTGAAACCAAGGGTTTGGTCAAAACTCTAATTCACTGAAGTGCTCGCAATGGGATGTCATGATGATTTTGAAGCTTGATTCAGCCAGGAAAAGCTCTGTGCAGGGCAGGGGCCACGGGCGGTTCAGTGGGAGAGCATCTGCTTGGCATGCAAAATGTTCCAGGTTCAATCCCTGGCATCTCCAGCTAAAGGATCTGGCAGGAGGTGATGTGAAAGGCCTCTGCCTGAGACCCTGGAGAGCTACTGCCAGTCTGAGTAGACAGTACTGACTGTTGATGGACCAAGGGTCTGATTAAGGAAGCTCCATGTGTTCGTGTTGCCGGTCAGAATAGAGGACAGAAGCGGATATGTACCTGAGCACAGCAACTAAAGGTGTTTCTGCCCAGCTGGGGTTTAATTGCAGAGGTAGCCTCTAAACCAAACGGAGCACATTTTCACCCAGGTATTGTACTCAAAAGCATCTTGTTGAACTGAGTATATTTATAAATGGGCACAACTGACGTTTGTACTCACCCTGTAAGACCTTGGCAGTTCTGGTTTCTTAATCTTTAAATACAGGAGTCCAGCTATAGTTATACCATAGAAAAGCCAAGCTGTGAAACTGAAAGAGAAATAACATATGAAGCATCCAGTGCGCCCTCTAAGCTGTGGAGTCTTATGAGCAAAAATGGCTCTGTGTGATTCTCTGGCATTGAAGTTATGAGCGAGCGATTTGGCTACTGCATAAATTAGTTTGTTCTGCAGCCACCCTTCCTGAGCTAAGACAGAAATCTGTGCGCTGGAGGCCCTAGTTTTGGTTATGCGTGAAGTTTAGCTCACACTAATGCATCTTAGAGGGAACACTGGAAGCATCTAGTCCATAAGTGATCATGTAATGGATTGGATCCAGTCAGCTTTTTGATTCAGTCTGAGCCAATTCCCCTCCTTTTTAAAATATAGCTCCCATGACCCCCAGCATAGCCTTTATTGGGTGGTGAAAAGGTCTTTCTCACCAGCATAAAATCTGCTTGGATCCAACCCAATAAACTGGTTGCTGTTTAAAAAATCCTAGTAATAAAAGATCACAAACTTTGCATAACAAGGGCCGGAAGAACTTTTAAAATTCAAAGATTAGATACTCTTTGCAACCATATGCACAGCTCATTTAAGACAGGATAATGGAATTTCATGTTGCTGATATCTCAACTCATTTTAGTTTTGTGTGGTAATTTTAAAAGATATAATCAATACAAACAGAGTGGCAAAAATGTATCATGTGAGTAATGATTTGCACATACACTTGAAACAAATGAAAAGCATTTTCTGCCTCTTTATATTTGAAAACCAGTGAATATACTTATCTTGGGAAGATTATGGACAGTGTGGGATGTAAAACAAAAGACACAAGAAGGAGGGGAGGGAATCCAAAAAGAATTGCATTAAGAACCAAAAAGTTAAAGAAGTCAGAATGTGAGGGCCCAATCGTTCTATATTTAAACTTAAAACACATTATTACATACTATTTGCTCCAAACTGCATCTAAACAAAAAAAATTTGGACCAGCAGAGAAAGGTACACAACTGAATTACCATTTAAGACACATGTACCTGACCAGGGCAGCAGGTTATTTAAAATGAGGCCTCTGAATTATATCTCTGAATTATATCTCTGTCTTAGGTCACAGATAAAACTATTTCAACTTGGTCCAAGTTTAAGAATAACTGTACTATTATTGTAGTGTCTGGAACTATTGTGTAACAACATTGTAACATTGTAACTGATAATATATTTTTTGTTATATGAAGCTAGTAATTTTCTCATTATTGCTAGATCCTACGTTTTTTATCTACCTCACAACATTTAGTATACTTGTATTGCCATCCTAAACAGTTATAACCCTTCTGTTGACTTCCGTTGACTCAGAAGGCTGTAACTCTGCTTAGGACTGCAGTTTTAAGTTCTTTTCCCCATTCTTTCAATACTCAAATTGGCCACTATCAAACAGATACTGAAAAACAGTTTTGATTTCTAAACGAGGGTCCGACTCAAACAGGGTTGCCAGGTTTTCTTCGCTCACCGGGGGAGGGGGAGCTCTCCAGGAGTGTGGAGGGTGGGGCGAAGTCACGACCTATGACATCTCCGGTGTGATGTTGTCACTCTCGTGTGACATCATCATGCCAGGGATGTTGCGCAGGTTGGGGGCTGTTGGGGGCGGGGCTTCCCACCACAGACCAGCTGGACAGTGGTAGGCAGGAGCCCACCAAATTGGGGCATCCCCCGCTCCCACCTGGGCACTGACAACCCTAGACTCAAACTTTGTCCTGCTGCTTCAAACCAACACGGCTACCCACCTGAATCTAAATTTGTATGTTTTATGGGAAACATATAGACATTTGCATTTTGGTCTATGTGGCTGTGGAAAATATGAGTTGGATTGGGAGAACCATGACGCAATACATGGAGCAATGTACCATGTAGTTTAGGCCTCAGATGCTACTATAACTCTTGATTTCAGTGAGCTTTGGCATACCTGGTCCTGCATAGAGCTATTGCTAATACATTGCCCAATAGTAAACCAGATGGATCCCCAGTTAGACTCTACCAAGTAATTTAAACCCTAATAATCTGTAGCAGTGTAGGATTGTGAAGAAAATATAATCCAAACAATATTAGGAAAACAGAATTGTAGAGTAGTAATGAGAGTATAGTGCATACTCACCTGAAAAGGTTCACTATGTTGCTGAAACTTCCAGGTATAATCATAATTAAAGACACTGCTGATGTAAATATGAGAGCCGGAGAAGGGGTGAGGCGTCTTACATGCGCCATTGACAGGATGTCTGGCTGCAAATCAAGATACAAAGCATAAAATAATAAGAATGTATAATTTTCCTTTTTGACGTCAGTAAAGTTTTCTCCAAAATTCAGATGTCAGACTTTAGCTAGCTAATGAGCACTTAATGTGAAAGTTGTGTTTTAAGGAATACAATGAATTTAATGTGATTCTTCCCCCCCCCCACCCTCGGTTGTCTCACATTCATTTCATTTTGAATGTTACTGTTTTACCCAACATCCCTGCAGTACTGAGCTCTTACTGTACAAAACAAGCAGTTCCGACCAAACATCCTTGGATGGAAATTCCTCGGATGACAATAGAACAAATATGTGCAGATGCCTCCTGTGGTTCCTGTGTGGTTTGAAAGTCTCAGATTTTGCAGAAGGCCCAAACTAGCACCAATAATCAGAGAACTTCCAAACATTCCCTAATCTTCTATGGGAGTTTTGTACAGCTTGGATTTCAACAACAACAACCCTTTTCTGGCTGGGGAAGGTTAGAAGAGAAGAATGGTTAAAATCATATCAGAGCACAAGGGGGCACCACTGGTCTGCTCTAAAATACCTTGACCACTAGCACAGTTGCCAAAAAGGCTGGCTATCACTGGCACAGCATCAAGCATCATCTTGCAAAAGAAGGGGGGGATAGGACTTATGCTAATAGCAGGCAAAAGAAAGGAAAGAAAATCTGATAGTAAGATGTGAGGTGCCACGAAGCTGACTTGTTACTTTTTAAATAATAATAATAACAATAATAATAATGTAAAGAGTCCATTACAAAATGAGAATTTAAAATCCTACAAGAAGAAAAGAAGAAGAGAGCTCTTCTGAGTCCAGCTCTTTCCATACATGCCTTCAGGGGAAACTGGTGACAGCAAAAGCAGGCAGCTCTGCTGTGTGAACCCCTAGGCAGCCAAGGCACCTGGAATGGTCATTTATCAGCACCATTTTTAGTCATAATGACCCATTGGAAATCCACCAAAAAAATCTTCTTTAGACGTATTTCATTGTTCACTAGAATAAAAACTGTTAAGAGAAAAAAAATCTCAGCCTCAAAACTGAGGTGAGGAAAAACACAGAGAACAGCAGTGGAGTTCTCTCTCTGTGGTGACAAACAGAGAACTGAGGGAGTAGCGCCCCTCCTCCTGGTCATGTGAGCGTTTTGGCAGGAAAGCACCAGAGGGAGAAGGGGCGCTCCTAGTCTATTAGAAAGCTTGGAAATCTTTTCCATGGCTGGTCTGCGACTGCACAGTCCCCGTGTGGGACTGCCCAGAAGCCACGATGATGAATAACAGTTATAATTAAAAAGTGAAGGGTGGGCATACATGTAATAATTATTGGTAGTATGGGAAAACAAAATTAGGTATTGAAGCATCCAAAGGTGTGCATGGATACATATACCATAGATACCAACACAGAACTCATGTTATAATTGCAAACCTATATGACTGTGATGATATCATTATCAACAGGCTGGCTGGCCTCTCTGCAGATGAAAAAAGCTGCAAAACCATGCAACCCATAGACAAGATAGGAGTCTCTACATAGTTAGGATATCTCCCCAGATAGGGTTGCCAACTATGTGTTGGGAAATTCCTGGATATTTGGGGGAGGGGCCTGGGGAGGTTTTACGAGGGGAGGGAGCTCAGTAGCGATGTGATGCTACAGTGTCCACCATCCAAAGCTGCCATTTCTTTCAAGAGAACTGATCTCTGTAGTTTGGAGATAAGTTGTAATTATAGGAGAATGTCATTCCCCCACCTGGAGGTTGGAAACTCTTTCCCTAGGTTTTCAGAAAACTGGGTCATCTAAATTTACCAAAAAAAAAATAACTCTTTAAAATTGGCCTCATGAGGACGGCAAAGGCTCTGTGAGATGTGGGATGGTTACAGAAGTTTAGAATTAAAAAGAGGAAGGGGAAATCAGTCTGCTCAATCTGCTTAAAGAATTCTGGGGTGGGAGATACTGAAAGGTGGGGTTTTTCATATTCTTCTTCCCTCCCCAGTTCTTCACTAGCTCCCAGCATGAGAGTTATACAACAAATTTATTCACAGCAAAAAGCCAGCACGCTAATACAGCAAACTAACTCAAACTAAATTCATACAACCACAAGCATAAACGATATATATAAAATGAATATCAAATAGAGAATGCATGTAAAACCTGTAAAGTCCTGTAACAAATTACATCTATTCGTCTTTCATGATGAGCTTTCTAGTCCTTACAGCTAACAAGCCAAATGTGGCAAGTTTAGCTGTAACCTTGAGGCACCTACTTTCTAGAAGGTTCTTCAGCAATTGTATCTTTTTTAAAAATATTTTTTTTATTAAGAAAAACCATAATGGGACAGCAATGAAAACAGGCACGATACAAAACAAATGTAACACAAACATATCACATTAAAGATAAACATAACCAATACTATCAACTTAACCATACTATAGCCGCCTAACCTCTTTACACATAAACGGTGCCTTAAAATGCAAAATATACAGATATGGTGATTGATCGTGACAAAAGTTAGATAAACACATCCAATACATGTGTAATGAATGAATGTGTTTAAAATCGTAACCAGGGAATGTATGCCTCTTTGGAAGGAAGAATGTCCTTTTCTGACATAAAATTGAGAACCGAACAAATTGCAACAAATCGTGTATAAGCCCTTGACGTTTCAACATTGGTATTCTGAGTAATTTGAGTCAGTTTTTCTAAAATAAATTGGTACCAGATTTTTTCAAACCATAGTTGCAAAAAGGGGGAAGAGCCAGATTTCCAAACAGAGACAATTGTTAGCCTTGCCACTGCCAGCAGCTTGGAAGTGGGCCAACGTGGTTGTGGCCGGATCTGCACAATCAAGAAGAGACAATTTAGGACAAATCGATAAGTTTTGATTGGTGATTTCATTTATTTGTCCAATAACATCGCTCCAAAATGATTGTATGATGGGGGGGGGGTTTACAGTAAATTAGCAGCACCTGTGCAAAAAGAAATGCAAAGCATGGTTGTGGAAGCAGTGGGTCCAATTAAAGCTCAGATGGATCAAACTTTATGACAAATAACACAAATAACTGAGCGATTTACAAATAGTATGCAAATTTACAAATAGTGCAAATAGTAAAAAGGATATTATAGCTTTGGAAAAGGTGCAGAAAAGGGCAACTCGAATGATAAAAGGGTTGGAACACTTTCCCTATGAGGAAAGGTTAAGGCGCTTAGGGCTCTTTAGCTTGGAGAAACGACGACTGAGGGGTGACATGATTGAGGTTTATAAGATTATGCATGGGAAAGAGCAGGTAGAGAAAGAGGTACTTTTCTCCCTTTCTCACAATACAAGAACTCGTGGGCACTCCATGAAATTGCTGAGTGGTCGGGTTAGAACAGATAAAAGGAAGTACTTCTTCACCCAAAGAGTGATTAACACTTGGAATTCACTGCCACATGAAGTGGTGGCGGCTACAAGCATGGATGGCTTCAAAAGGGAATTAGATAAGCATATAGAGCAGAGGTCCATCAGTGGCTATTAGCCACAAGGTATAGATAGGGACTCTGGGGCAAGTGATGCTCTGTCATCTTGGTGCTTGGAGGGGTCAACAGTGGGAGGGCTTCTAATGTCCTGGCCCCACGGGTGGACCTCCTGATGGAACTGGTATTTCTGGCCACTGTGTGATACAGAGTATTGGACTGGATGGGCCTTTGGCCTGATCTAACATGTTCTTATGTTTAAGTATTTCAAAAACAGGTGGCTGAAAATTCAAAGGATATAGCGGAGCTGAAGAAAAACAATTAGAAAACAGATAAGAGGATTAAAGCGGTGGAAGAGGACACAAGAAGGACGGAAGACAAACAACGGGAATATGAACAAGAGCTAATACGATTGCAGGTGGCATAAGTGTCAAGATTCCAGAACATTCCAGAGGAAAAAGATGAAGACCTGTTAGGGAAGATGGCCAAGTTACTGGCAGACCATATGGACATGGAAAAAGATGAAGTGGAAAAAGAGTTTGATCAAGCATTTAGAATGAATTCAGCCTATGCAAGACGGATGAAAGTTCCACGGGAAATACAAGTACGCTTCTATAAGAGGATGGTAAGGGACAAAGTATTGAGGGAAGTAAATGCAAAACAATTAATGAAAGATGAAACCGAAATAAAAGTTTTGAAGGAAATTCCCTGGAGAGTTATGGAAAAAAGAAGAGAATATTCTAAATTAATATGGCTACTGGAGAAAAATGACATTCAACACAGATGGCTACTTCCAAAGGACTTAGTTTTTACCTATCAAGGGAAAAAATACTGGATCACATCTATTTTTAAAGCGGAAGATTTTCTAGGAAAATATGGGGAAGAACTTGGAATGGGAGAGGAGAAAGAAGAAGAAGAAGAGGAGGAAGGGGAGAGAAAAGAAGAGGATCTACAGGTGGAAGGAGCAGAAGCCAATTTTAATCCCAAAGAGAAGAGACCAGGCTGTCCGAAGGAAATCTCCGATTGGAACGCGGTACTGGACAAAGGTGAAAAGACACCAACAGAATGGCAAAAACAATGGATAAAGGGAAACTTAGAATACTCCCAGTAAATGTAAATGGATTGAATGGACCACAAAAAAGAAGAAGGATTGCATTTATACTCAATCTCTGTTTCCTATTAATTAGCCATTTTTTGATCCACAAAAAGACTTGTCCTTTTATCCTGTGACTATTGAGCTTACTTAGGAGCCTTTGGCCCCTGCCATACGGGGGGAAATTGATGCGGCCAAAGTGTGGCTTTTTAAAGACGCACCAAAAAAGAAGAAGAAGAAGAGATTGGATTTATACCCCGCCCTTCACTACCCAAAGGTGTCTCAGAGCGGCTTACAAACTCCTTTCCATTCCCCTCCCAACGTGAGGTAGGTGGGGCTGAGAGGGCTCTGACAGAAACTGCTCTTTTTCAAGAACTCTTATCAGAGCTACGGCTTGCCCAAGGTCATCCAGCCAGGTGCAAGTGGAGGAGTGGGG